TGAAAAAGTGCATTTTTTTTTAAAAATAATTTTTGTTGTTAATGTTTTCTTCGAAATAATAATTTTTTAAATTTAAAAAAATTTTGCTTCATTTGAGACCCAATAAGGTATACTTTAAGTTTCATGTCCTTTGACAATAATTCATCCATCTTATTTCAGCCATACTATCACTCTTAAGCAGACAAGTATTGTATAAGAGAATACACCATATAAATAAATATATTTATATATTATGTATGTATCATGCTCCCTTTTTTCTAATTTTTTTTATTAATAAAGCATTCGATTGGTTTTCTCAGCAACTCAATTGAAAATTAATATTGACCTTTTAATATTATATAATTACTTTATCATTGTAATAATTGTTGCTTAATTTATTAATATTATTGCTATTATTATTGTTAATATTATTATCATTGCTATTGGTATTTAAAATTTATTTTTTTCTATTTGTTTTTTACTCACAATTATTTTTTTTTCGTTTTTTTTTTTTTGTAAGTAAAAAACAAATACTAATGTATTTATTTCAACTTATTTTTTTTTTACTTTCTACTTTGCAAGAGTTTCTTGCATTGCTTCTGTTTTTATTTGTTTACTTAATTTTTAATTATTTTTTTTTTAGTTATTATTAGTATTGTTATTGTTTTAGTTTTTAAATTTATCTTATTTTTTATAAGTTTGGTTTTTGTTAAGTTTTTATTTGGGGATTTTTGTTTGAATTTTGTTAGTATTATTTGTTATTCGTATTATACCATATTATTATATTATTTATATAGTTTTCATTTTGATTATATATGTTATAAAAATTAATTAATTATTGTTAGTTTCTTTACGATAACTGTTTTTATCTCACAGTAGGTTGTTCCTTTATGTCAGTTTTTAACTGTTTGTTATTTTTCTTATTTTTGTATATAATATTCAGTTTTTGTTTAAAAATCTACTAATAAATAATCATATTAAATATCATTATTCTTCTTCTTATCATTATCACTGTTTTTTTTTTTATCGTTATTATTGTTGTTGTTGTTATTATTATTATTATTATTATTATTATTATTATTATTTTTATTATTTGTATCATTAATATTCATTTTCATCAGGTTTTTACTTTAAATTAGTTTCAAACTATTTGTAAAATCCTTGATCGTTAGACCTTAATCAGAAAATATATGATTTAAATGGATTATTTAAATTAGATTTAAAGAGGCCCATCCTCAAGCCTAAATTTTACAGCAAATACCTAAATGCAAGAATGATGCAACTAAGGCTTCAAAAGTAGCTTAGTCAAATAAAGATGTCAAAAATAATAATTTTTTATTAATTTTAATAATAATTAAAATAATTTAAAAACAAGTTTATAATCATTAACTAATAATAATAAAATGTGTTTTCTAGTTATTAGCATTTTTTGTAAGAATCCAGAAACTAAGAAGTATCCCCCCCCCTCCAAAAAAAAAAAAAAAAAAAAAAAAAAAAAAAATTCTTTGATTTTTTTTATATCAACAAATTTCTATCAAAAATCTTTTGTTTGTTTGAATCTGAATTTTGAGATATTCTGTTTTTTTTTAAATTCATTTCTTTGGCAAAGCAAAAAGTTGTGCATAACTTTTTAACTTAAAACCAGATGCAACCCAAAAGTTCTCTTCAAAAAATATAAAAAAGTTGTGTGATACTAGGTAGTTTACTAATTGTCACGGCAAAGCGTTGTGCACAGTTTTTTTTTTGCTGGGTTTGTAATTATCAAAATTTGAGAAGCAAGAAAACTATTACTAAGGGGTCGTCCACAAATTATGTCCATCAATTTTTGACCATTTTAGACCCCCTCCCCCTCATCACAACATCGTAATTCTTTACAACAAGTTCCTTATGAATTGTCACAAAACTGCTAACTCCTTCCCCCTCCCCTTAAAGCTTGACATAGTTTATTGACAACCCCTAGTTAAATAAAACATAAAAAAAAAATATTAAATATAGTTTCATTGTTAAAATTAGTATTTCTTTCTGAAAAAAAAGTCATTTGTACACAAAACAAGATGTTCACCACATTACACATGTTTACTCTGCTTTAGTAATTTCTCAAAGAATAGTGATACAACTGCCTTTTATTCCTCTTTGGATAATGAATAATTTTTATGGCTATTGATAGAGAAAGTGCATCAGTTATACAGATAATTTTGTTATTTACTTTATCTCTTTTACAGTAATAGTGATAAAGTATAATTTTTGAGGCATTAGTTATCAGAAGTTGAATACTGAGTTTTATTTAAAATTAGTTTATAAAAATAACTTTTATGATAAAAAAATTTTTATGATAAATATTATCAAGAACTTCATTACTTTATAAAAATAAAAACATCATTTTTTCTATGGTTCATTGTAAATTAACCATAGAAAAAATGATGTTTTTTCTATGGTTAATTTAAAATGATGTTACAAATTTGATTGTAAATTTGTAACAATTTTGTGAAAAGTGGTATTTTTAAAAATACTTTACAGTTGAAGTTATTTTTCTTCGGATTTTTTAATCTACTCTTTCCAGTAGATTGACACGAAATAGATACCATCAAAAACAATAAATTAAAAAAAAGCATCTTTTTTTTACTTTTTTGGATTCTTTTTCTAGAAATGTTCTAAACTGTATATGTTTGTAGGTTTTTAATGTCAAAATATACCTGGACCATACTGAGGGCATTTTTGAGAGTATTTTTGCTCCAATTTGCAAAATGAACCTGCAAAAAGCAAGACTTCATTTCAAAATTGGAGACGGATCTGTTCCTATTCCGTCATTAGAGACAAAAAATGACTATCTTTGGTAAGGAATCAGAGGCTATTCTAGGAAAAGAATTTGGGCGGTTGTATTGAAGTTTGGAAGAAATTTAGGTATTTTAGGCAGTGTGCTTGAAAGAGCTATTAACTTAATCTAAGTTTACCTACAAAGAAACTGAAATGTTTTCATTAAAAAAAAAGAATTTTATTTTGATCAGAATGCTGTTAAATAGATGGTCCTTGTATTTGTCACCCTTGCAACAACAAAAACAATTATTCAAAATCTTTATAGCTTAATTACTTCAAAGAATCTAAATATCACTGACAGATTTGTTTGTTGTATGCTAAATAAAAAAATCTGTTGTTTTTGACTACAAATATAAAACATTCAACTAGAGGAAATGCTTTTCCTGTTAAAGTGTACAGAGACCAATCATATAAAGCATATAAGAAGTGAAACTATCATTATCTTGAAGATAAATCATGATCTTCTAAATTGTGTAGGTAGTGTTAGGTATAATGAAGGAGATAGGAAAGAGTATTGGAATATCTGAAATACAGGAGAACATTTATCCAGTTGTTATAAACAGGTCTTGCTATTTGTATAACTTTTATGATGTTAAAGAATGTCAATTTATGAATATGTTTTCGTTCATGAAATTTGATCTTTTGATTTCTGTTGCATGTGTTGGTATTGTATGTGTTGGTATTGCATGTGTTGGCTCTCTAAAAAATTTTATATGACCCATTAGCATCCCATTTTCAACCAACTAACCTGAAGTACACTAGGGGTCAACAAAGTGATCATACTTGGCATAGTTTAAAATGTAGAAATATTTGAAAACATTTTTACAAATTATCAACTTAATTCAATTACCTGAATACATGTTATTTTATGATCACCATGTAAATAAAGTTTTTCTCTTTACTGATAAAAATCTGTAGAAAATTATTTAAAAAATGACATGGCTGTAAATATGGTAGGTTTGATGGATCCAGCTGTGCCAAATATTTAAAATCTTTGGGAGATATAACGCTCCACTCTCCAATTGAATATCTGTAGTAAAATCCTGAGGTTTAAAATAAGTAATTCATTGTTTTAAAAGTTTTTAGAATATCTTTAGTTTCTTTAGTACAGGTGGTAGACAAGTTGATAAGACAACAGTCTACATAAGGTTAAATGTTAACCTAGTAATAGATAATAAAAAAGTTATTTTTAGCAAGTTATTGTTTGTTAGTCTTAATTTAGTTGCTGGATGCTGTTTTGGAATGAAATTTGATACATCCTAAAAATAGAAATTAGACAAGTTTGTGGAATTCATTCTTCACCTAAAACTATATAACCATAATGTAGAGGCAGTCAGTAGAGGCAGAACATTATTAAAAGAAATCTTTTTTCATAACAGGTTTTCATTTTACGTTCTTATTAATGTATAACAAATTTAATTTAGTGGGTCACTTTCATTGCCTGCTTGGTTATCACAAAAAATATCTACTATTAGCAAAGTGTATACATTAATTTTAATTAACTAATTATTATGTGTACTTCAAGTGTTAACTAATAAAATAATACGTGGTTTATATTTTAATTTTCTACAATAAATAAGAATAAATACAAATAATAATTAAATTAAATTATTATAAACAAATTTAAACAGTGTATTTGGAAAAAAGTAGGTTTTTAACACAATAAACCACAGAAGTGCAAGTAGAAATGAAAATTGCATAAAAGTTTTTCCTTATGGTACCTGCAAACTATTATTATAAAAAAATGTTGAGTGCATGTTAAAAATATTTTTAAATTAGTAAATGAATTACTTAGTAAACAAAAATATTTTTTGTTTAGTCCATTATTAAGGAAAATAAAATTTTTTTTATTAAAAATTAATTAAAATAAAAATAAAATGCTATTAAAATTTTTAAAAAGCTCAATAAATACGGCGTATTTTAAAACAAAAGGTATTTAAATTCAAAGAAGTGTTTTGGCGCAAATGAATAAATCATAATGAGAAAAGTTTGTTTACAAAACATAACTGGTTTTTACTTATTAAAAAATAACCCATATTAGATACTACCTGCTAATATTCCTATCAGTTAATAGATGTACTTTTGCTTCTTATTGTCTAAATAATGCCATCAGTGATTTTTTGTTACAAAACAGCTGTAGGGGGTATGCATTCAAATGTTTTATTTCTTCCAAACGTTAATAATTTAATTAATTGATATACTTTTAGGATGAAAATGGTGCATATATGATTGATAGAGATCCAAAATATTTTTCACCTATTCTAAACTACTTACGCCATGGAAAAGTCATAATTGATGATGGCCTTTCAATTGAAGGTAATTTCTTCTATTTTTAATATTCTGCAAAATATTCTTTTTGTTAACAGACCCTTTGATTTAGTTTAGAATTATTATTATTAATTATTGGTTTCTTTTTTGTATAAAGTAAGCAAAAATTAAAATGTATGGTTTGTTCGAAATATCTTTTTTTTTTTTTAATTTTGAAGTTTTATACTCTTTTTTTTTAATTTTGAAGTTTCATATTTTAAAAGCAAATTTTAGGCAAATCTTTAAAGGTATGACAACATCGGGTAAACTTAAAAAAAAATTAATTTTTATATAAGTGTATAAATCATAGTAGTATGTAATAGCAAAATAAAAAAAAAGCAAAATAGTTAAATAAAGAGTATTAATAGTTAATCAAGTAAATTGACAAACTTTTCTTTCAATCAAATGATTCCAATCTGTTTAAAGCTTAATTTCATCATTTAGATCAAAGTAACATATTAATGAAGCTTATGTATTGTTGTACTTCAAACATCTATATATAAAGAATTTTAAATGTTGAAGCTATGTTTCTTATGAATTTTATGAAAACATTTTATGATTCCTTAAAGGGATCCCCAAGTGCCGTGATAAATTATGTTCATATTAAAGAAAATATTTTTAAAAAAATTTTGGGCTAAATTTTTTAAATCAAACTAAATAATAAATGCACACCAATAAAATTAAAATTGTTGTTTTAGTTGAAGCTCGCCGTCTCAATTTTTTTTGGTTCTCCAAGTCTGTATTATGTTAGCCACAATCTGCAGACTTGATAATTTATTTCATGGATGTTTAATTCATAACAATTTCGGTATATGACATCATCTTTTTTTTTTTTTAAACTAAAACTAAACTAAATAGGGTCACTAAATTGTACAACCTAAATAAAATATAAATTTAATATAAAACCAATATTTACTGGTTACTAGGAGGAAACTAGATATAAACTAGATACTAAAAGAATAATTTTACTAAAGCGTATAAATTAATTTAAAGTATAAACTGAATAAAAAACGAGTGACTTGAATAAACTATATAAACTAAACTAAGTAGAAACTAAATATAAAACAAATTATTTTACCGTATAAATCAAACTAAGTTAAAGTTAAAACAAATATGTGTACTAAAATATATAAAAGTTAAAATATTAAATGAAGAATCACATTAACTCTTTTGCTACCAGCTGTTTTAACAAAAATCTTTTTGATTTCTAAAATTTTTTTCAAAGAAAATTATTTTTTTGAATAAAATTTGGATAGCATAAACATAGATGAGTTTTTTCCAGGAATTCCCGGAATTCCCGGAATTTCACTTGAAAATTCCTTTACTTTTCCAGAAATTTCCAGATGTTTTTTGTTATTCATTTGAAAAAATATTTATATATTTTTACATAAAATTTTAAATATGACAACTTTTGCATTTAAACAAATATGTTTTCTATAATTAAAATTTTTACGAGATCAATTTTCATAACAATTTTTTTATTTTTTTTATTTTTTGCTTTTTAATTCATTCAAATTAACTTTTTCTAATATTAGAAATTCCTTTTTGTAAAAAGTTAAATAATCTAAATTCCGTTTAAGTTTTTGTTGTCTGTTAATACGATCAATTTTTAATAAATTATTTTTCCGGGATTTAAAAAAAAAAAAAATTTCAAGTATTTTCATAAAGTCAAATATTCATCTATGCATAAAATTGACAACTAATTAAAATTTGAATAGTAAATCTTTTTAAAAGCTTAAACTATATATCAATGAAAAGCTAAACAAATGTACTTTTTAGTTAAATAAGTTTTTAACGCGTATCATTAAACAATAAGAAATGCAAAGTGCTTAAAACCATTATTTTTATAAATGTAACTAAAACATCAAGTCCAAAACAAAACTCAATGTATAAAAAGAATGTTTTTTCAAAAGACTTTAGTAATTTAACTAAATACTTATACACTTCTACTAGTTAAATTTGTGTTAACGCTGTTTTATTTTGTAACTAAATTTAAAGAAGTTTTTTTATGAAGGATTGCTTAAGATTTTTTAACTTTGTCAAGTGATATGTTCCAGTAGTGACTTACTTGTTCTAATTGCGCACTTTATATAGAGTTAACAATTTGTCAAATATCCTTATTATATACAGTCGTTTATCCAAATTAACTATTATTTAAAACATCATTTTGATAGGAAAAGAACATAGCTATACAAATGGCCTACATAAATGTAGAAAAAAATCTCATTGCTTAAAAAAATATATAATCCAGATTATATAACAAAGGCAACTTTTTATGTAGGAGTTCACCATAAATTTTTTTTTTTACATTATACAAACATTTGATTTTCTGATTGTAGGAGAAAAAATACTTATATCTTAAAAAAACAACCATATCCTAAGAGAGAAAAAAAAAATTGCAATGGCATACCAAAACTGTTATGAATTAAACACGCATGAAATAAATTATCAAGTCTGCAGATTGCAGCTTACATTATACGGACTCGAGAACCAAAAAAAAAAAAAAAGACGCAAGCTTCGACTAAAACATGAATTTTAAAATTATTGGTGTGTATTTATTATTTAGTTTTAATCAAAAAAATTTAGCCTGAACATTTTTTTAAAACATTTTTAACATAAACACAACTTGTCTCATCCCTTTAAAGTCATATTTAAAGGCTGCCTAAAAGTAGTTTGATAAATTAGGCTTATTTCATAAAACAGAAATTAAATTCAAAGTTATTAAATTTGAATATATAACCTTTTATTGAAATAAATATTAATTTGATATATAACTTTTTATTGAAACCTTTTATTGAAATAAATATTAACCTTATTGAAGTATTGAAATAAATATTAACCTTTTATTGAAATAAATATTAATTTGAGTCAAAAAAAAAATTAATAGTATGATATAATTTTTATAGCAAAATTTATATTTGATAAATTTCCATAGATTCATGTTCAAATTGATTGTTGAGTTTGCAGATGAGTTGTTAAATTTGAAAATGGAATGTGAATGATTGTTTTTTAGTAAACTTGTGTGAACTAACTCTTGTATAAACTTATCCCAAATGCTTATTTATCTAGATTTTGACACAAAAAATATTATTTATAAATTTTGTCTTTATTATTTTTCCAGTCTCATAAACAATTTTTCTCTTATTTTCATTGAGTGTTAATAAAATAAACAGCAAATTTTTTTGCTGCCCTGATGTCAACTTCATTTTTCCTAATTCCGAGGGCTGAAACTGTATTTAAAAAAAGTTTATATTACATAAAAATATTAAAAAAACATCTAATCTTGTCTTTTCAAAAGCCGCTCTTGTCTTTTTTTGTTAAAGAATGAATTTGCCAAAAAGTTAATTTTGGTCGCCCACCAACCTTTCGAGTGCTCGTCACTATTTTTTATAGAAATTTTTGCATTCAGCGGAATTCTCGCATATTATATTAATTTTTCTTTATAGAGCTAAGTTTAGGCTAGAAATATTTTGCATAAATAAAATTAATATTGTAAACTATTGATAACATTCACTTTTCTACTTTCAGATAAAGCACATTCTGATATAAACCCCATTAGGTTTTCACTTGAATTGAGTGCTTATTTTATTAAAAAAATAGGCGGTCTTTTTTACAACAACAATGTATTGAACAATATTTTAAAAAAATTTACAAATACTTTAAAACTCTTTCTTTTAATGTTTTGTAATTATTAATATCGTATTTGTTAAAGGAGCTTGAAAACCATTGATATTTTTGACATTTTGCACTGTAGTTAAATTTAATTTTAAACTGCGTCAAAAGTTATTTAAAATAATTTAACACAAGTTTTTTAATAGAATCTAAATTCAGTATTTGAAAAAGATTTTAAATCAGAATTCCCAATTGGTTTAAAATTCCCAAAATTCAATGACCTTTTTTTTTTTTAAGTAATAGGACAAATTCAATAAATATTCTCAAAATTTTGTAGAACAATTATAAATATTCTCAATATCACAAAAACATGATAATATTCTTTTTTAATTCTATGACACTTTATTCTAGTTGTATTACATAGTCATTATGTTTCAAGCGCCGCTTCCATACCTGATGGTGGTGTGCATTTTCTCATTCTCTCCTGCTTGTTCAGCATAAATACCTAAACCATATTTATTATGTTGGAGGAAAGATAAAGAAGGCAAACAAGTATATCATTCGTATGAATTTGAATGTTTTAAAATGAGTCTTTTAAGTCTAAAACTGATTCAAACAAGAACTCTTTTACTTTCACTTTAAATTCTTTTTTTCACAATTAAAATTTTTTGGTACAACTAATTAATGAAAGAAGCAATCTCTTGGATCTGTCAAGATTATTTGTTCTACACTGAGTTGTTCTTGTAAAAGAAAAAATGAAATTATGGTTATAAATAGCAGCTTCTCAAGAATTAGAGACGGGAAGGGGGGGGGGCGGGTGAAATAAGGATTGACTCAAAACCCACAAGAAGGAATAGAAAAAAATTTCTGTTTAAACCCAAGAAATGATGCTGGTGGTACAGTTTTTAGCTCAGAGCATAAAAAAATTACAGTAAGAATCCCATTCTTTATTTATTGTTGTGTTATTATGTAACACACAGCATTTAATTTTTTTATGTGAGTTACATCAAAATTAATAAAGTAGAAGTAGAAAAATTACTTGTTTTCATTAACAACCAAACAAGTTGTATTTTCATCCAGGGATTTTTATTTTCACAAAATTTAATTTCACACAAAACAGAGTAAAATTTATCCTTTTATTCATATTTTGTTCATTTTCATATTTTTTTTATTCTACTTCATAAATTTTTATGTTAGACTAGCAACCCATAAAATATGACTTGTTAGTTAATAAATTATTAACTATTTAATTATGTAAAAAATATAATTTTTAAATAATTAAATAGTTAATAATTAAGATATATTATGTAAAAAATATAATGAAATACAAGTTTATCTATAAATACTCTTTATAGTTCTGCTTGATTTTAATTAACAACATAAAATACATAACATCA